CTTCGGAGCTCATCACAGCCAGGGACGCAGAGGGATGCGGCCCTGCCCTTCCCAGCGCGGCACCTGTGCTCACACCCGAGTGGGATGATGTCACGTGGTGCACAGCCGCATTTCTGCATTTATTTGGAATCTTTCATTTTTCTGATGAATCTACCTCTGCTTCTTATTCATTAATGTCTAGTTTTGTACTTCATACTTCTGCCTTTTATTCATTTATTTTTTTGTTTTTCTACTTTCTATTCTCTGTAATACATTCGTGTGTCGGTTTCCTGGGGCAGCTGGAACAAATGACCACAAACCAGGGACTTAAAACCACAGACATCCATCCTCCCCCGTCCTGGAGACCAGACGTCTGAGGTCAAGGTGTCCCAGGGCTGCGCTCCCTCCCGAGGCTCCAGGGGAGGGTCCCTCCTCCCTCTTCCAGCTTCTGGGGGCTCCAGGCGTCCATCCCTGGGCTGGTGGTCACCTCCCTCCCGTCTCTGCCTCCATCTCCACATGGCTTCTCCTCTGTGTCTGTGTGTCTCCTCTTCTGTCTCTTCTGAGGTCACTGTCCTTGGATGCAGGGCCATCTCCTCCAGGAGAACCTCCTCTCAGGTCCTTCGCTAACTGCATCTGCAAAGTGTATTTCTTCTTTAGTCTGTTTCACATTTTTTCCTGTTTCCAGATACTAGAAGGGATACTAGTCTTAGTTTGTGTTACCTGGACTACAGTCTTTGTGTGTGGGAATGTGCCACAGACAGTACATAAGTGTACGGCGTGGCTGTGTGCCAATAAAACTTTATTGACAAGAATAGGCTCGGGGCCATAATTTGCTAATCCATGGGGTGTCAATCTTTGTGCCTAAAGTTACCAGCTGGAAACCAGCCTGGTGGTCACTCACCTCCCAAAGTAGGACGTAGGGGAATTCATCTACTGTGGAAGCAGGTGTTGGCTTCTGTAGGGTTGCTGACAACCTGTGCCAACAGAAAACACAACACAGCATCAGCCATCCTGTTCCATTTGGCCTCAAACATTCGTTGAGCACCTACTGTGTGCAGGGCGCTGTGTCTGCAGGAAGAAGACAGATGTCCGCTCATGCTCTAGTGGGGGGGGGGCATTTTTAATGCCACCCAGGTGACCACATCGCTCATCAGATCGTATTGGGATTCTTGCCTTTTCTGTGCTGACGTGTGGTCCTTCACGCTCGGCCTCTTGGAAGTGACCCCTCGCCTTTAGTCCCGAACTATCCACCACTCCTCCGTGTCAGGAGAGAGCTCACATGAAATAATTTCCCTTCCGCCCGTGGTGGGCAGAGAGCGTCATCCTTAACGCGGCGGGGGTGATCCACCCTTGCTCGCCCACTAAAAATCCATGTTTCTGTTTCTTAACAGGTTCCCTCCGTTTTTTGATGACAACGCCTTTGGCATTTATCAAAAAATTCTTGCGGGCAAGATAGATTTCCCCAGACATTTGGATTTCAGTGTCAAGTAAGTAAAGCAGTTCCCTCATCATTGGATGTGTTTAATTTTAAAGCATATTAAAAAAAAAATTCACAGCCAAGGCATCTGCCTAGCCGGGTCCCAGCCCTGCCTTATCCCCCGTGCTGTGCTGAAATGATTTTGGGAATTCATCTAAAGGCGTTTGTTACTGTGTTTAATGAGAGAACCGTTTTGTTATTTGGCAAGTAGGGTCTCCCTCTGCCGTGCCCCACCCGCAGGTTTTGTGCTTGGCACAAGTGGTGATGGATTTAGCAGAGTTTATCTTTTCTCTCCCGCTTCAATTAATCTCATCCCTAAAATCTTTTCCGGCGAAAACATTGAGTCATGAGTCTGTTGCTTCAAGACTTTCTGCATTGCTTCACTGTTACGCAGTTTGGGTATGCATTTTTGTGGCTCTGGGTGGGGGAAAAGAACTAAATTTTTTTTTAAAAGATAAGGGTGCTCTCGGTTTTCCAAATACCTTACTCCATGAGTCAGCTCTCGGCCATCTGGACCGTATGCTGTTTCACTGTCTTTCCCAGATACGTCGATAGGTGCCCCACACTCCTGCTGATGACAAAATGGAGTTAATTATGGTTAGCTGAGAACTAAGCTTCTGTCTCTTTTTCTTTGCTACATGTTTTGAAAGTAAGCCATGGAAACTGAGTGCAGAGAAGTTGTGTTATTTCATGACAGTGTTGGGCTTCTAGGACCACTGGCTGCATCCACGTCTTGTTTCTCAGTGGTCGGTGCGCTCACTGTCCAGACAGGTCCTCGGTCTGCATCCTGTGTTTCTCTTGGCTTGTATAGGCCGGAGGTTGCGTTTGACACACCAGGCAGGTTCTGACAGATTTTAGGAAGAAAACGGGGCTCCAGCAAAACATAACCATCCAGAAGGGACACTCTATGCCATGAATGGTCAGACAGCGAGGTGACAAGGGAACGATGCACCCCAAAGCCTGTGGCTCTAGGAAAACATGAAGGAGCATCCTAGGATTTCCCTCCCAGGTCTCACATCCCATCAGCTTCCAGTGATTCTATTTCAAACGGATGGCAAAACATGTTTAAGATGGGGTTGCGCGTGTACCAGCAAGTCGCCGGTGATTGGATGGGGTTAAAGTCTGCTGACGCCCACGTGCAGCCCTGCCCCGGTACACTGCCTGGGACTCTCCTGGGAGCCCTTGTGCACGTCTGCCGTGGGCGTGACTCAGCTGAAGCCAGGGAGACACTTGCTTTTGATCCGCAGGGACTGTCTCAGCGTCCTCACAGTCAGCCACCTTTTTTTGTAGGCATCTCCTGGTGTTGGGCATCTCAGAAGATGCCCTGATGGAACGCACTTCCTCTTCCAAGGAGTGTCTTAAGTTCTCCCAGGAGATGTCTCCCCAAGACAGGGGAGGGTCCGTAAATCTGAGGTCGTTTATTGGGTTCTGTTCATCCACTGAGTAGGTTTCCAACGTTCTGGGGACAAGAAGATGTTAGAGAAACAGAATAACCCTAACCACAGGTCTGCTCTCCTGCCGCCTCCTCCCCCTTTTTCTCTTGGTTTATCTTTACTTTTAACAGCGAACCAGCAGAAGCTGTTCTGGAATCCTTTGGACCCTGATGAGTCATTTCTTGCCCAATTTACTGTCCCTTGGTGGCTGTGAGTGTAGAATTCTGAGTGAATTTTTCAGGTGGTGTGTTGGTTCATGCAGCTTCAGCATCTGACCATGTCCGTCTGTGTCTCGGGATGGACGTGAGGGTTCTTTATAAGATCGCATCTAATTGAAGAGGAATGAAAAGCTTTGGGGCTGGCTGCCAGCTTGGTAGAACTCATCTTCACAAGCGTTTCTTCATGCCTGAAGGTGGTCCAGGAGACACCAGCTGGCACTGGGATCCGAAGTAAGACTTACAATTTCAGCCGCGGTGAATCGAGGGGCTGCCAGCAGACACACAGCCCGTCCCAGGAGCGATCCGCGCCCCCACACCCGCTCACCTCTCAGATGCTTCCCGAGTACCTACCTGGCTTTGACTTACCTGGTGACCCCTTTTCCTCTGCACCCTTTCCTTTCAGGGTTGAGTGAGGGTTTTACAAGGCTCTGATTTTGTATCTTAAATACGTCTTTGTCTTCTTGGAATCCCAGTACAGGCAGATTTAATTATAATGCACTGCTAGGGTGGCAGGGGTGTTAAAAAAAAAAGCAAAACAGGAAGAAGAGAAAACACAGGTGTTTGGAGATGTTTTGGGAGTGCACTATTTGGTGACTTTGTGGTTGGTTTTTTTTTTTTTTCACTTGTTTGTTTTGTTTTGTTTGGGTATGTCAGAATACTGCAGGAGACAGTCCGTAAGTACAGGCAAGGTATCTAAATGTTCCAGCCCTCTTGTGTTCCTCTTCCCTGCTCATGAGTACGTCCTCTGTATGTGATGGGCACAAAGTCCCAGCCTTCCGTGAGCCAGTGTCCCCAGGTTTTCCCTTTGAGGTGGAGCTGCAGAGAAGCCTTCAGGGACCCCGGTTCTTCTTAAGGACGTGTCGTGTTGGGAAACTCTGTTCCAGCTATTCCTTGACAAAGTTTGGGATCAGTAGGAACCTGGGAGACTCAAACAGTCCAGACGTGAGGGACCCCAGGCCACCAGAACCTCACATTTCTCACTTGACCAAGCACCTGAGCCTCCCCGGCTGCACACGGACCCCAGGACGTTGCCCGAGTCTGGGTCTGTGCTCTTGACCCCATGGTATGGGGGGGGTCAGGAAAGTTTAGATGTTGAACACTGACTCCGGGGTTTTGATTGTCCTGGAAAAAAATCCTTATAGGCTTGAAGTCCTCGAATATTATTAAACATAATATATTCAGTGTATTACACAGTTACACACACGCGATACTCTTTACCTCCGTAACTGTAGCCTGTCTTCTGAAAGTCTTGAAACCCATCAGTTCCCACCCTGACTGACCGCCTGCTGTATTCCGACACCGTCTGCCGCTTAGAAGGAAGATCTAAGTGACCCAGCAGATGCGACAAAGCTCCAGTAATTTGTACGCTTCTGGGAAAGCCAAGCGTGGCCAAAGAAGAATGCCACAATGAGCAGACTCCCGGGGCATAGCACGGCCATTTATTTTGGTAAAAGCGCATGGCAGGGACGACCTTGACAGGTATATTTGAAATGAAGCCTCAGGGTCCCCTGGCCAGGTTCATTTTCCGCTCACATTCAGAGGCGTGTCTTCTCTTCCATGATTTAATCAACGTCTCCCCCTTATCTAGGTCCCCGTGGGCTGGCAACTCCCGGCGTTGCATAAATCGCTCAGGGTTTTATGGCCGTCAGCCTGCCGCGTTGGCCGGCGTCCATATCGAGATGTCTGTGTTTCTGTCTCCTTCCCCCATGCAGGGACCTCATCAGGAAATTGCTTGTTGTCGACAGAACAAGGCGACTGGGAAACATGAAGGTAAGTGTGTTTGCGTCCGCGTGTCTTGAGCAGGGTGGTCCCAGTGCATGCCTCACCTCCACTTCATACACGTCAACAAAGGCGGAACATTCACATGCAATTGTTGGCCACGTTTCCGGTCTGGGATTCTGGGGCATTAAAAATCATACTCAGTCTGCACCCTGTCTCCTCATCCCTCCAGAGGAGCCCGTGACTCCACGGTGATCTTGATGTTACTCATCACTATCTTATTTACTTACTTTTCTATCTTTAAACAGCATTACTGAACTAAAATTCACAGAAAATTCAGTTTATGCATTTAACATGGACAGTCCAGTGTCTTGTACTATATTTGCAGAATTGTGCAGCCATCACCGCAGTCAGTTTTACTAAGACTGTTTTCATCCCGTCCAAATGAAACCATGTGCCCTGGAGCTATCACCTGCCTGTCCTTCTGTCCTTCCTTGCCCTGGGCAACCTCTAGTCTACTTTTTGTCCGTATAGATTATCCTTCTCTGGGCTTTCATAAAGATGCAATCATAGAAAACTTGGCTTCTTGTGTCCGGCTTCTGTCATGGAGCATCCTGTGTTCACTGTCCATCCACATCATAGCCTGTGTCAGACCTTCACTCATTTTCATGGCTGAGTAATATTCCCCTGTGTGGATGGACCCTGTTCCATTTATCTCTGCATCCATCTGTGGGTGGAAGCTTGGGTTGCTTCCACTTTTTGGTGGTGGTGAATAGTGCTGCTGTAAACATGGGCGTGCAGGTTTGTATGTGAGCTGGTCATTATTTTAGAAATCATATGTCATATGTGATTGTCTGAGACTTTTCATCTGGAGGGAAATATACATAAGGGACTGACTTGTGTAAGCGGTGTGATGTTGCCTGTGCCTCTTTCAGTTCTGTTTTGACACCACTGAATTTGAGACAATCCAGGGACCTCTTCTTAGCTGTTTCTAGGTCTGGGTGTCTGTGGAGGAACTTGGACACGGCTTAGTGCCTTGGCCCTGTCAGCTGCAATCTTGAGAGACAAAGTAGAATTGTACCTGAGACTTGAACCCAGAGATCTCTCAGGCCCTCTAGTTTTGGGGGTGTATTCATTTCTTGGGGCAGCTGTAACCAATAACCACAAACTATAGGCTTCAAACAACAAGAATTCATCCTCCCCCCATCCTGGAGACCAGACGTCTGAAATCAAGGTGTCCCAGGACCACGCTCCCTCCCGAGGCTCCAGGGGAGGGTCCCTCCCTGCCTATTCCAGCTTCTGGGGGCTCCAGGCGTCCCTGGGCTGGTGGGCGCCTCCCTCCCATCTCTGCGTCCATCTCCACGTGGCTTTGCCTCTGTGTCTGTGTCTCTCCTCTTCTGTCTCTTCTAAGGACACTTGTCACTGGATTTAGAGTCTACCTTAATGATGTCATCTTAACTTGTTTGCATCTATAGAAACCCTCTTTCCAGACAGACTCACATTCACAGGGGCTGGGGCTCCGGGACTTCCACGGAGCCTCTGGGGCAATGGGGCAGTGATGCACAATTCAATCCGTAACAGGTCGAATTTGTCCAAGTCATTCATGGACCTTGGCCCGTGTGTTCAGGTCCTTAAGGAGGGGACTAAAAGCTAACTTGTTGGACATCACTGGTGAGAGAAACAAATCTGCAAAACAAGAAAGTTGTTCATCCAGTACCGGGCTGCTTCTCTCCTCCTGCTGCTACTCATTCGGACTGTTTCTCTTTTTCCTTCCAAACATACCATTGTGTTTAA